CCGCGCCACGTGACCACAGGATCCCCTCACACCTGCCACGCCCTGGCGCCCTGGGTCAAGATCCCCTCACGCCTGCCACGCCCTGGCGCCCTGGGCACGCCCTGGCGCCCTGGGTCAGGATCCCCTCACGCCTGCCACGCCCTGGCGCCCTGGGTCAAGATCCCCTCACGCCTGCCATGCCCCGGCGCCCTGGGTCTGCCGTGCCATGTGAGCACAGGATCCCCTCACGCCTGCCACGCCCTGGCGCCCTGGGTCTGCCGTGCCATGTGAGCACAGGATCCCCTCTGCCTGCCACTCTGCACCGCACACACCTCCAGAGCAGGCTGGAGCCAGAAGGGACCGGAGTGACATCCCTCACCATACATCATCAAAGTGACCCCACAGCAGGCATGTCTGGAGGGGCCAGGCGAGGTGGGGCTGGGCGGCCAGGCTACAGACGTTGGTTCTTTCCCCAGCCCCGTCCCTGACTCATTCGCCCACCCAAGCACTGCAAGTCACAGACGCTGGCAAGGAAGAATTCCACCAGCACCAGGAGGGACACCTGGGCCCCGAAGGGCGGCACAGGCTTACCAGACACACTGTGGAAGCTGAGGACCTTGTTCATGCGGGCAGTGGAGAGGATGATCTCGTCAAAGACGGGGACGCTGCCACCCACCATGCCTGTGTTGCCCCCCTGCGGGTTCACGGCCAGGTTCCTCTCGTGGCAGTGCCTGGGATGAGGACAGGAGGGACATCGGGGCTCTGTCCCCACCCCCACGCTACCATCCCCAAGGACACGCCACAGGACCAGTGCCTGACCCCAAATCCTGATTACTCTGCTCTGCCTGCAGCCCCGGCGGCGGTTCCTCCCCAGCCCACGCATGTGAGGGATTCTGAGGAAGGACAGATGCCAATCCAGGAGCCGTGCACAGGGTGACGGAAGTGGAGGCCCCGATTCTAATGTCCTAAAAGACTTCCCGCACAGGACAGAACGTCCTACACGCCCCACTCCTATCCTTCCCGTTCATACTGTGGTCACAGAGGGCCCAGCTCAGGGCTCCTCGACTGCACTGCCCCCACCCCCTTCCACCCTCTGCCTTCATCTCCCCAGCCTTGGCCCGTCATCCCCCAGATGTGTGCCCAAGGACACCTCCCTCCCAACCAGTCTGCACCTTTGCAAAGCCCCAAAGCCTTGAGCACACCCAACGGGTAAGGGTTTGGAGAAACCAAAGCTCCCTGACCTGGAGAGAGGAATCTGCCCACGTACATTAAATAAACCCTGGAGGCAGCAAGCCCCAGGGACGGAGTTTAACAGAGTAAGTGCAAATTGCCACAAAATACCTGCTGAGGATGATCTAAAGCACTGTCTACAATCATGGAAACCTGGAGACCAGTGCCACCCTGTAGCGTGTCCATGGGGGAGGATCTTTGCTGTTACAGACGGTGCCAAGAAATGTGCAGGGGCATTGCCAAATGGGGGGAAATGATTACACACCATAGATGCATTGATATAGCACTTAAAAACCACAGAACAAACACTGAGACACACAAACCAAGATGTCATCGGCTGGCTTCGCACCGCGTCACCCCAGCTGCCCACAGGCTCCACGAGGAAATGACCGGCAGGCAACACAGAAGGGCTTGGGGGAGCCGGGCACCACCACCTCACCTGAGGATGTGGGACACCTCCTCCGAGGTCCGTGGCCTCAGCAGCACCTTGCTAGAGCCTGTGACAGGAAGGAAACCCTGTGAGACAGCGTGGGGGGAGCTGCAGATGAGGCAAGTGGGCGCTCTCCCCAGAGCGAGCTTTTTTCTTTTGGAGACGGAGTCTCACTCTGTTGCCCAGGCTGAAGTACAGTGGCACGATCCTGGCTCACTGCAACCTCTCCCTCCCGGGTTCAAGCAATTCTCCTGCCTCAGCCTCCCGAGTAGCTGGGATTACAGGCACCTGCCACCACACCTGGCTAAATTTTGTATTTTTAGTAGAGATGGGGTTTCACCACGTTGGCCAGGCTGGTCTTGAACTCCTGACCTCATGATCTGCCCACCGTGGCTTCCCAAAGTGCTGGGATTACAGGTGTGAGCCACCATGCCCAGCCCCCAGACAGTGATCTTATTTGGGAAGCTGAGGAGAGAGAATCACCTGAGCCCAGGAGGTCGAGGCTACAATGAGCTATGATCGCAACACTGCACTCCAGCCTGGGTGACAGAGCAAGACCCCGTCTCAAAAAAACCGAAACTAGGTCCCACGTGGGAGGTGGCAGGCCGGGCACTGGGCAGGGTGCAGAGGTGGGTGAGGCTGGGCCCATGGACGAGAGTCCCACAGGCCAGGCATTGGCGGCTCTGAGGTTGCCCACTCACTTGTGGTGAGGTCAGCTCGGTTCCATGGTAACGGGCTGTCTGCAGGCTTCCCTCCTGCCACGCCACCACACTTCGTTTCGTGATGTGTGCGCACCTCACACGCAGACACTCGAGACCTTGTGGACATCCTGTCGCTCCTCAAGCTTCACCCATTAACATCTTTCATTATCTTAGACTGAATCAGTTACTAGGATGGTTGCCAACGAGTGATTTTCCTAAATCCAGTCGTCCACCCACATTTCCTTTTATTTCTTTTGAGACAGGGTCTCACTCTGTCACCCAAGCTGGAGTGCAGTGGTACAATCACAGCTCACTGCAGCCTCAACCTCCTGGGCTCAAGTGATCCTCCCACCTCAGCCTCCCAGGTAGCTGGGACTACAGGTGCCTGCCACCACGCTCGGCTAATTTTGATATTTTTAGTAGAAACAGGGTTTTGCCATGTTCCCCAGGCTGGTCTTGAACTCATGGCCTCAAGCAATCCACCCACCTCAGCCTCCCTAAGGGCTGGGGTTACAAGCATGAGTCGCTGCGCCTGGCCTCTTAGCTCACTCTGCCACGAGGGAAGGCTTTCCCCTCGCTCCCACTGACATGTTTACGTAGCTGCTTATTCACAGTGATGAGTGCTCTCGGCTTCTCATTTTATTCACTGGGCTGTAAGTCTCGGCTGCCTTATTTGCTGAGTGCCTGGATGTGACCAATGGGAGCCCTCTAAGCTAGTTAGCCGGTGTTGCTAACCACTGCTGCCCCAAGTGAGCTGGCGTCTTTCTGCCTTTGGGTTTCCTTGAGATGACATTCCCAGGTGATGGGGGCCGCAGACAGACAGCAAGTGCAGTCACAGGTGCCTGTCACCTCTTCACGGAGCTCTGAGAACCAGGCTGTGGTGTCCACCTTACTTTTCTGATCGGAAAGCCACTTAATCTCTCTTTCATCAAACCAGCAGTGTTTGCAGAGGGGCCTGCTGGGCGCCTGGGCCTTGGCCGACACTTCAGCGCAGCACCTGAGGGAACTGTGGCACCTGCGCTCACTGCATCCCTGTCCCCAACTCAGCTCGGGAGCCCCAGGACTCATGGCAAAGCTTTCGACTTGGGCACACTTGGGACGCACCTGTGACAGGGTTCTCAACACATACATGAGTGCGCCCCAGAATGCAGGCCAGGCCGCATTCCAGACACAGAATAAGGACAGAAGGACAGAATTTCCCACTCCTGTGATGTTTACCTTCTAACGGGAAGGATAACAAGGACGGCTCCCTCCCAGTGGTCCAGTGTTAACGATGGGAGCCCCACAAAGAGAGAGGGGGCCGTGGGGGCAGAGCCGCCAGAGGTGATGCAAGGGTCCAGCCTGTTTTCACACCGTGAAGCCCCCACCCTCCCGCCAGTGCAGGCATGCTCACTAAACATCTGCAGCATCCATCCGGAGCAAATGGTCTAGAGTTTTGAATATGATGCTTAATGAGTTTTCAGAAGTCCAGACACGCTCTCTCTCCAAAAGCAAGCCACACTAAGGGGCAATTCATCTAAAATTCAACAACTAAGCCTCACTTCAGTAAACACCTACTGAGCAGACATTCAGGACCAAACCTGTGGACTCAAAGATGACTGAAATTCAGCCTTGCCCTCACCAAACTCCGGGCAGCAGGATGCAGAGGAAGGTGCCCTCCCACAGGCGCACACAGACACTGAGGGGCGGCCCTGCAGCAAGACAGGGTGTCCATGGCCACGGACATCCAAAAAGGGTGCTGACTGGAGAGAGGGGTCCCAGGGGGACAGCCAATTCTTGCCCAGTCAGGCTCAGGCAAGGCAGGGGAGAGGAATAGTGTGGCCACCCCTCAATCTCAGTTACAGCTTCCATCCCACTCCTGCAAGCCCTGGGAGAGCCCCCTTGCCCACTAGGGCAGCAGCAGCATAGCCCAGGGTGCTGGCCTCTGTGCAGGCTGAGAGCACGGGAATCCAAGCCTTGTGCTCAAGGCTCACGCTAGGTTCCTGCCCCACTCACCCACATGGTGTTCCCAAGGCAGTGGCTCCAAGCCCCATTTTGTAGGGCAGGCACTGAGGGTCAACTGCCTAGGGTCACCCAGGCAGCAGTGCTGAGCCAGGACTGGGGCCTGACTTAGTCAAGCCCAGAGTGGGCGTCCATCCTCACCTGGCTCCAGGGACAACACTCATGAGCCCGCAGGCCCTGGGCCATGGTGGACGCTCAAGGCTGCAGCTGGAGATCGCCCCAGAGGGATCCTTATTTAGGGAGCAGGGTGAGGGTGGGGGCCGTTCCACTCAAGAGAGCTCCTACGTAGTGACCATTGGTCCAGCGATTTCCAGTGACTCCCGGCCTTTCTGCAGGGAAAGAGCTGCTTCCATTATCTGAGCCTAGACCCCAGTTCAACTTGCTAACTTTCCGAACTGTTTTCACATACACTGCACTCCCAGATTACATGGTCTGGAAACTCTGAGTGTTCTTAATACTTTCAATCTTCTACAAGGGCCAAAACAACAACAAAAAGATTAAAAAAATTTCAGATCTTCCCAATGACAGCACACCCTACGTTCAGCCCCAGGACCTGGTGCCAGTGCTACAGGTTTAAATATATCATTTTGTTGTAAATTA